TCTCTCCACCTGTCACTCTGCGTCTCAACCAGTCTAGCCATCCCAGATTGAGAAAGCAAGGTGGGACTGGATTTCTGTTCAGGGACCTGAAGCAAAGGGAAATGGTAACCTATGGGGGTGCTGTCTGGTTACAGGACTCTTCTCTGAAAGGCACTGACTGGCTGAGATGTAGCTCAGAGGCCAGGACTGGGGGTTTCACAGCTCTGTAAAACAGTGACATTTTATACTGTGTTGGAAACATGTCACCATAGCAACCAATCTAAGGTAGAGCTGATGCTGGCTGAAGGGACCGCAGCAGCCAGAGATCTAGCTTCACCCTCTCCCCACGGGCCCCAGCTCCCGACACTGCCATTACCCCACTTAACCAAGGGGAGGAACCACTGGGTGTCCCACTGCTCTTCACTGTCCTCTCCCTGCTTAGGCCTGGGAGCTGGGCTGAGAGCCATGTTCAAATCCAAGCCTTCTACCTCACTCAGAATCTACCGGACAGAGCAACTCCTGAGAGAAAAGAAGCCAACAGCACCAGTCCGAGGTCTATAGCGCAGGCTGCCACCACCCCACACCCTCCAGGCCTCTGGCTGTATTAACAGGACAGCCCCGTGGCTGCTTCCTCTCTCCCGCCTCTTCTTGCCAGCGTGTCAGGAAGCTCTAGGAGAGAGCCTTCCAAGCTTTCACACAGGCCCTCGGCCCACAGCAGTGTGTCTGGCAAGGCCTCCCTCTGCGTTTCAAGGTAGAGGAGATCAGTTTCTGCCTTTGTTCTTAGAAAGCCAGATACTTGATCAACAAGAAAAAAGCTAAGCAGGGTGGTAGCCAAGGACCTGCACACATTCTGATTGAAGGTCTCATGAATTTTATTAGTGAACGGTATTGTTTCCAGTGCCATGAGATTGGTTAACTGTGTTTTTAGAACCAAAGCCCCTGATTAAAGACCATCACCGAGTGTGTCATTTAGGAAAACTGAGGAACCCTGCTGAAAAGATTGTGCAGATGCACTGGCTGCCAGTACTAGGACATGCTCTGTCCCTCCTGAGAACAAATGAGGTCCATAGTCCCAGCTTGCACAGGAGGAAGGGAAGGCAAAGCAGTGGGTCAGCATGATCACCAAAAGGACGCTAAGTTGTGGATACAGCCCTTGGCCACCCAGGAGCCACTCTTGGGCACCAGACAGGAAGGCATCAGAGGAAAGGGGCAAAGGCACAACCCCAGGAGATGGTTTCTGAGGAGAACAGAAGACTCAGCCCTCCAGTCCCCAGAGGATGGAGTCTGCAGCCCTCCCACCAGGCAGGCTTCCTCTCCCCAGCCACTCTGCCAGCAGGGCTCCATTGTGTGGGCCTCTGCAGAGAACCTTAAGGAACGACCTATATAGCATGTGCTTCTCTGAAAATAACTTCTAGACCCATTCATCTTGATCCTTTATTACTTCTAGTCTAGACATACAGATTCTCAGCACTTACAGGAGTGTGGCAAGTAGCAGGCACAGGCTCTTCCCGGCTCCTACCTCTCTGTGGGGCAGGACACGTGTATCTCTGCCTCCATCCCAGTGGGCCCTGATCTCTCTGTGGAGGCGGCTGCATTCTGACTTGGGGACAGTAGATTTAAGCGTGGAGAGTCCATACAGTAGGCATCTCAGAGAATCACTGAGGAAAGAAGGTAGAAATTCTTTATCATAGTTATATGCTTTCTGCTAGTAATTATACTATCCGTTATAGTCAAAGAGACTGGCAAAAATTAGATTTTTTTAATTCCCTACAGAGTCACAGTGTTACATCAAAGTCAAGATCTACAAGAAAGTCAAGACTAATAAAAATAAAAATTTTTTAAATAAACCCAGATATTTTACATTTGTTTAAATAAACTCCTGCCTCCGTGCCCTGCACAGTGCCAGGCCTTTCTACTGGTGCTCTGTTGAGCTCCTGACTCCAGACCACTTCCCCGTGAGGGGTCTGCACGCGCCACCCCACCTGATGCCACCCATACACCTTGGTTTACACGGCTGCCACGGGGCGGGGAATGGGCCCGCCCAGCCTTTGTGCCGAAGGCTCCATCCCATTCAGCAGCCCTCTGCTTTGCCTCCGTGAGCAGGGCTGTGAGATGGATAAGGGGCCTCCCGCACTTGCTCCCACACCGTTTCCCTCCCTCCCGGTCTCCTCATCCCCACCCCTGTCCTGTGACGAGGGTCCATCGTCTGAGTCAAACCGAGATCTACCGTCAACGTCACAGTCCCTTCACACTCAGTGTCACACCGCCACCCAGCTTCTGAGGAAGCTGCTTCCGATGAGTCACTGGGCCAGATTTGCCTGTGAGCCCGAAAATAATGAGGGGAAAGGACGGTGAGCAAGGGTGGCCATGAGCTCTGGCATCTGTGAGTGCTTCCTGTTGCCTTGGAGGGGCTGGGCTGGTTCTCCCTTTCCTGCGGAGTGAGGTTGCTTACACAAAGGACAACGGACACATTCTCCTTTCTTCTGGTTGCTTGTGAATCAGGTGAATCAAGACTGTATTCGAAGCAGCTTCCTCCTGCCTGCTGCTCCCCATAACATAGAGCACAGTTCCTATGAACAGGCGCCAGCCATGACAGGAAATAAATTAGATTTGAGGCCATTTTCCCGCAGAGATTCTGCTCTGATTTTACCAAACAGTTTACTTAGACTCTGGTTGTAAATCTGGACAGCTGTTTGGAGCTATGGCATTTGAGTTGAGAGGTTTGTGTTCTGTTAGGGAGTTACAGCCATACAGACAGCAGCAGGTAAATGGCCATGGTTTCCACCCAAGGCTGTCCACACTGCTGCAGGGCCTCCATGCTGGCCAGAGACTGTGTGGCCTTCATCCCACCCAAGCCCAGGTTTACTGTGGGCCTTGGTCTCCCAGTAATGCACTGCCTGGTTCTTCAGGGTGAGCATGGGGCTGTGTGAGCCCTTGGCACTGCTGAGCACACTTCCAAGTGACCACATGTTACCCACTTGAAGGACCATCATTGTAACCCATGAGCGGCAGCCCCAGAGAAACCCCCTTCTTAGTCTCATTGTCTGGGTAATCAGCAGCCACATGGGCAGCTGTGTCTCCAGAGAGGCCAGGGGGATGAGCTTCTCAGAGGACAGCAGCTCTTGATTCCCACTCAGAATGGTGCAAGAGGACTTTTGTAAACGCACATCAGAACGTATCTTCTACCTGGTGGGGCGGCCATGTGCTGGGAGCCCAGGGAGCGGCACTCTTGGCTCTGCACTCAAGTCCACTGGTGAGAAGGGATGGGCACAGGCAAGTGGCAGGTGAGGATGAGCATCCCCGTGGAGCTCTTGACCCAGTTGATTTTAAGCCTTCGTCCAATCTGTTTGTGGGCCTGATTGTGTCACATGAAACCTGTTCTGCTAACACCACGCTCATCCAGAGACACTCTGTCCTCTGACAGCACGCCCAGCAGTCAGACTCTGTCATAAGCAGCCAGGGGCACAAGATTGCACCTTACTTGAAATCCTTGTAGTCTCTGTGTTGAATAAGCATGTGCTTTCCAGCACATTGTCCAGCTTTCTCTCAAAATAAAAAGGAAGGAGCTCTGGGTAGCTGTCTCCAGCCTACTCTAAGCAGGCCATCTCTGCCTCCCCTCGTGAATCTCCCAGTGGGCTGCATCTTGAGCAAGGACTCTTCTGGTGCCTCGTCTGCTTTTCTACACGCAGCTCCTCTCCCCCTCTGAGCAGCCTTTGCTTGAACCACGCCCTCTCTCTAAAGTCACTTCGTCCTCTTCTTTACCTCCTATCTAGTGTGTTTGGCCCCCCAGCTCCAAAGTCACTCCTCTCTGCAGCCTCCGTCCTAGCTTCAGCAGACTGACCCACATCTGGGAACCCTCGGACCTGTTGCCAGTTCCCTCTTTCGGGTTTCTGACTGTACTACTCTCGCACTCCTTGATTGGCTCTTGGGTTTCAGTCATGGTTCTCCAAATGCTCCAAGTGTCTCCATCACTTCCAGGATTCAAGCCTTGCTGTGCTGCCAGTTTCCTTTCACCCCTTCTTCTCTGGGGGAACAATCTTCATTCGCTTTCAAAGCTGCCCCCCATGCCTAGTCCATCTGTCTCCTCTTAGCCCTGCTCCTGGTGGAAGGAACCTCTCATTCCTATGTCTGCATCTCTGTGGGGCAACACTGTATCCTGCAACTCCTGACTGGCTTAAAAGTCAGACAGACAGGCATGTTCATATCCTTCACTTTGGACCCCAGCAGAAGTGCTCACTGGGCCTCGCCTCCTCTCATGCCAGGTCAATCCCTGCCTTCAGGATTTTTGCAGAATTAAAAAGGACTGAGCAGCCTTCACTGAGGCCCTCAGCAAGTATCTTTACTTCCCTCACATCTGCACTGTGATACACTGATATGTCTGGCCTTTGGTACCTTCTGTGTTACCTGCCTCTGCATCTGGACGTGCAGCATAAATAAGACTTTGTGTCAAGTCCACCCTTAGTCCTGCTTGGGATGAATGAGTAGATCTCGGGGGCAGTGGTGATATTACATACACCTCATGATTTCCGGGGACCTCAGAACACACCAGCATGTGGGATGGGCAAAAGGATCCCAGCAAGTTGCACTACACGGGGCATGCACTAAGTGTCAAGTGAGCTGCAGACAGACTTGCATCCCCCATAGAGCACGTATCATAGACCATGGTGGCTCCTGGGATTCTACAACATAAAATGTTACTTGGGGACTGCAATCCTTTGCGGTCAACTAGAGCATCCCAAATGCAAATTCTGCTCTTTTCTACCCATTTTCCTTTTAGAAAGAGCTAGCCTCAGAAAATGAGACCAGTGTGATCATGCATGAGACTACTGCTGAGATTCCTGAATGTCTGGATCCCTTACCAGAATAACAGACCCGGAATCTTTCTTTAACCCCAGATCTTTAACCCTCCCCTTCCTGCTACCACTGTTAGGTTTTCAGGATCTCAGGCTACCTCAGAAGCTGCCAATATATGAAACAGCAGCTATTTGCTACTGAAACATCTCCCACTTCTTTTTTCCTAGGAGTTTCTTTTAATAGTGTTTACACTCAAATTTGGAGAGTCTTATTGCATCTGGCTGCTGATCCCTACCCAGATGTCTCTGATTTGGCCATGAAAGTACTCAACAGCATCGCCTACAAGGTAGGTGGGATGAGATGTTTCTGTTGAAGCTCTCAAATTTCTGATTTTCAGTCATGAATATTCAAGCAAAAATCTCCAGTACAGTAAGGTCTACACCATGGTTTTAAAAATACATAAATAAGGTGAGCTTTCACAAAAATTTCCAATCTGGATATTCATAGTATACTTTGAACTGTATTAGCATGTAGCTATAGTTGTCAGCATTGCTGCTTTTCATGATCTTCACCTCTGTATGATTTGTAACGATGTCCCTGCCTCCTTGTCTGACATTGGTGTTGATAGCTTCTCTCACCCTTGATCCTTCTAGCCAATAAAGACTTCAGAGGGTCAGCTTTTGGCTTCATTGGCCTTTCTCTGTGGTTTTTAAATTTTTCATTCATTGACAGCTGCTTTTACCTTTTTTACTTCCTCCTACTGCTTCCTTTGGGTTTCATTTGGTCTTCTTATCCTAATTTCTAGATACTAGTTTAAATCTTTTGGGGGACTATAAACTTTTCCCCGTCTCCTGGATTTTTCCCCCACCCATGAGCAGAAAAGTGTCATTCAGGGACATCTGGGACATCCTTTGAAGACTTTGGAAGTTTTCTTCTCCCCACCATTGCACCTTACAGATCCCAGCCCCCCTGCCTCCCTGGAGCTGGCTCTGTGTTCCCACTGCTTGAAAGTACCAGCTTCGTCTGGGTTCCACTTCTCTGAGCTGCAGCCAGGGACTTGCTGTAAGCTGCCTGCGAGCTATAAGCTGGATCAGTTATTTATTTCTATCTCTTAGGGGTCCCAGTCCTGAATACTCAATATCTAGTGTCTGCAAATGCTTCATTTTTTTTTTCTGGTTATTTAGTTTATCAAAGTTGCACAGTTTATCTTTTTAGTTAACTTTTATTAATGGAACTAGAAATAATTCACTAGCATTTTTTGAAAGCTTTTTCCTAAATTAATAAAATTTTAAGCCTGCAGAAATGTTGTGAGAAGCATATCACCATATCTTACATCTACTCTTGACCTTCCTCTGACTGCGTCACATTGAAGAGTTGTCCACCATGGCTGAAGGGGCCCGGAGCTGTGTCTTTCAGCCCTAGCCCCTTGTTTTCCCCCAGTGGGTTATTGAGCCCTGCCCTGGTACTGTCCTCAACTGGTTCTGGCCTCCCATTGAGCCATAGTCCCTGTGGCAGTCTCCTTCTGCCGACACACTGTCTGTGTGGTGCTCAGTCTCTTCGCTGGAATTATTTTGTTTTTATGTTTTTGCCCTGACTAACTGAAATTGCCTCATTGACTGTGGTTGTTACTTCTTTAGCTCTTGGCAGTATCACAAGTAATAGTAACAGAGCCTCTTCATTCCCCTAGTTTTTAAATATAATAGTAGTCAGGCTCATCTTTCTCTTTAAAGCAACGTAAGAATAATGCAAGAGTAAGTTCTTGGTTTTAAACTCAAGCAATGTCACATGTATGGCACACTGTCCTAGAATAACAGGTCCAGAGATATTTCCCTGCCCTCCATGCCCAGTAGAACATCCAGCTTAACGGTAGCATGCTGGGCTTACTGTTGATAATTTGGGAAAGCCTGCATGGTTCAGTCCTGCCCTGACTTCTCCCCGTAATGGACTGTTCACCTCCCCCAATGGGCTCCTTCCTCACGTTGACCAGCTGCAGAACCAGCTTGAAAGATGCCGATCCTTACTGCATGGGACCTCTCAGTCTGCCTCACGAATCACTGGCCTATGGAAAACAGCCAATCAAGTCAACGTTTTCATTGTTCTATGGAAAACTCCTAGGTTTGATCCCCCCAGCACTGCCAAAAAAAAAGAGAAAGAAAACTACTAAATGACCCAGGACTGTCTCCTGCCACTTGCCAATGTTCTTTCAGGGTGTAGATAGTCTCTCCCATTTTTAGTGCAAATTTTCAGGGTTAGATTTTAAAAAATCATTTGCACTTCAGTCATTTTCACAGCTCTGTGTGGACATTAGTGAACGGTTTAAATTTTCAGAATTTATTTTCAAAGAAAGCAGAGACTGGCCAGTTCACTGGCCCTTTTCACAGGTGTCTGGCACACAGAGGCGTCTGATGGCCTCTTCTTCGCTCTTGAAGGCACAGGACAGCCTCCTACCCCTCACGAACAGCCGGAGGCCCACAATTAATTTAGCTTCTTGAGTAGTTTGGTCACTGTGAATGAGGATCTAGCCTATTTGAGTTTATTTTTCAGTGGCTTTTATATGTTTGCTCTAGCTAAACTCCATCTGAATTATTTAACACTTGAGTCCCGGTGCCTAATATTAATTTCATAACTACCAGTTCATTGCCACAGACCCAACCTCAGGGTGTTAGCTTGTTCCTGTTAGAAACTTCTCTATTCTCTGACACACAAAAACCCCTTCTCCCTGCTCAGTAATAAAGATGCCAGCCACACCCTTCCAGCCCTGGGTCCTCCTGGATTATGCACCAAGTGTACAGATGTAAACCAGCAAATCCCTTTAAGAAACTTAGCCCCTTGTGCATGACCTGCTGTGTTAGCAAACCCTGAGCAGATGTCCTCACCTGCGATGGGGAAGTGTAGGCATCCGAACAAGCCCCAGAGCCCTCAGCAGAGGGGTACATGGCTCTGTGCCTGCCCTGCTGATCTGTGACGTACACCGTGGTGTGCACGTGCAGTCAGCCTGAGCAGCTTGGACCTCCTCTGGAGACCAAGTTAGCAGTGTGTGTGTGTGTGTGTGTGTGTGTGTGTGTGTGTGTGTGTGTATGCTGCTACTGAAAGATTTGTA